ATTACTGTGAGGACTTTGATTAAGAATTTTTCAAAATTTTAAAAATTTTATACATACCCAAGAGCTAATCAGAAAACAAGCTACTAAAAATTTAAAGATAAGCAGGAAAAAACATACACAAGGATAATATGCTAATGTGTATTAAGAAACTTGAGAAAAAGTTCAGTATACATATTTTTATTTACAATGAGAACATAACATACCACAGTATAAGAAAAATTGTAAGAATGTAACTCCCACAGAAATTTATAGAACAAAATGTATACTAAATCCTCCAATTAAAGACCCATAAAGTAGTTTCAGGGCTTTCTAGACCACCTTCTCACAGCAGGGAATTAATCCCTCTAGGGGGATGCAAACAAACTTCAAAGAGAAGATTATGCCCAGACACTAGTACTGTACAGCGTAAGGTTTATATCTAAGTTTGCTCAGATTCTATGGCACGGATCAGAGATGCAGATCCAAGGAACAAAGACTAATCTCAAGGCAGATTCTTTGCAATCATCTAAAACAGCAAAAATAATGCATTAAATAATAACAGAAAAAGGCAAACATAGGTTTTATTAATTTTTATTACAAATAAAAAGGTTGTAGAAGCAGACAAAAGGTACCTAAAATCAAATGTTAAGTGACGGTTTATTTACTGGTATCAGCAACAAGGAAATCTTAAAAATTCCCAACTAACATAAGCAGTACCATGAGTTCTGTTTGTGTACCCAAATTTTATTTGTACAATCTTTGGAAGGTGTTCCATTCGGTGTTAGAGGTCTTAATGCAATTTCTAAGTCGAACTGACAAATCACATGTCCCTTCCATGGATGTCATGAGATCCTCTGCAGGGCACAGAACACATGAGGGCCAGTTTACAACCCATGTCTTCACTAGTATAGACATCAAAAGTAATGGAAGAAGAACTGTCTTTAAAAGTTTAATAATTTCTTAGTGGCTTTTCTTACATCTGTCATCTTTCTATTGTTAAGTTAAATTTTAGGTATGATTTGAAGTACCTGATCACTTTATAAAATACGTTTTAAGTAGTGGTATTAGCGTATCTTAGTAATTCAGCTTTATCTAGTTGCCCAGTTTTTAAAAATCATGTATGAGGAATCAGAGTTTAACTTTTCTAGATAGTAATCATCTAATATAAAACTAAAATCCTTGGTAGATTAAACACTTAAATGTGAAAGACAAGACTATAAATCTCTAAGAAGAAAATATAGAAAAATATCTTAATATCAGAAGGGTAGGAAAATATTGATAAACTGTATTATATTAAAATCAACAAGTTTTAATCAAAAACACAATAGAGTGAAAGACAAACCATAGAGTGGAAGAAGATATTCGCAATATAATTAATATCCATAATGTATAAACAATTTCTTACAAACCAATGAGGAAAAGGTAGAAAACCCAATTTAAAAAATGGGCAAGAGACCTGAACAGGCATTTTATAAAAAGATATTCTAAAGGCCAAAAAGCAAATGGAAAGGTGCCCAATCTCATTAGTCACCAGGAAAATGCAAATAAAAACAAGGAGACACTACTACATGACCATCAGACTGGCAAAAATCAAATCTAACTGAACAAAGGCTGATGAAACTGTAGAGCAATAAGGACTATCAAACACTGTAGGTGGGAGTGTAGACTAGCACGATCGATTTTGAAAAAGTTTAGCATTATCAAGTATGTTATATATCCTATGGAAATGTGTGCTTACATGCACCAGGATTCATGCGTAAGACAGATCACAGCCACATTGCTTTTAACAGCCAAAAATTTCAAACAACTTCAAATGTTGTCAACAGTAGAATGGATAACTAAATTGTGATATAATTCTATAGTGTATTACACAGTGATGAAAATGAATGACTACAGTTACATACAACATGGAGGAATCATAAACATAATTGAGCAAAAAAGCAGCAAAACTATATACAGAGTAATTCTGATTCTATAAAATTCAGAAACAACTACAACCAAATTATATTTTTCAATGAGGCATACTTATGTAGTAAAACTATGAAGAAAAACAAAGAAATGATTATCATAAAAGGCAGGATAGTTACCTCTGAACAAAAGGAGGGAGGAACTTCTGTGGTGCTGGCTAATGCCATCTCTAACACTTACAGGGCCGAGGCAAGGGTACAAATAGAGACCCACAGACTGTATGTCCAACTATTTAGATATTTAAAAGTCATGAACAAGCTTACAAACTATTAAATATGTTCTATCCTCCTCTCATGACAAAATACCTTTATAAGTTCCACGCAGAAAAGTAGTGGTGCACGGAAGACTGACCCCCTTCTCCATTCTGTAGTGCAAGGGACCTGGCACACAAGCATGCAGTTATCCCAACCCGCAAGTCCAAGCTCTATCCCATCCCCAACTCCCACTAACAGCTACTCCCCTTAGGCCACCCCTTAGACCTAGGGGTGTATATACCAGCAGCACTGTTCACCCTGAAGAGGATGGACCCCAGGGAAGAGACTCGCACGGGCTCTAGAAAGAAGCTCAGGGCCATCTGGGCAAGGAATTCTGAGATCCTGGGTACTCAAGCATGGTCTAGGATGGAAGGGTTCAGGCTCCAAGTGGACGTGTTCTGTAGGCTCCAAAGACTACTTGCCCCATGGAAAGGGACACTGTTAGAGGAGAGTCAAAGCAGGGCCCTCTAAAGCATAAGGGCCAGGGCAGGGTCCCTCTGACCAGCATCATTATTTCCGTAGACCCAGGCAACACTGTATTTCTTAACCTGAATAGTAGTAACACAGTTACTCACTTTGTTAAACTCACTTTGTTAAAATAAGTTTTATGCACTTTTCCCACAAATAATCGGATAGATATCATGTGCCTGCTGACATGATGCACTGAGAAGGACACATACCACTTCTGAGATACTTCTGCCAAAATTCCATAAACTGAATCTAATCATGAGGATACAATCAGATGGACACAAATCCGGGTACTTTCTACAAAACAATAGACTTAAATTCTTCAAAAACATCAAAAAAAGGCAAAGAAAGGCTGCAAAACTACTCCAGACTCAAGACACTAAATAGAGGTGAAAACTAAATGGATTGCATGATCCTGAATTGGATCCTGGATCGAAGAGGGAAATACTATAAAGGACATTACTGGGAGAATTGATTAAATTTAAATATGGATAACTGAAATTATATCAATGTTAAATTTTCTGACTTCAATAAATATAGTAGAATTATATAGGAAAATGTCCTTATTCTTAGGAAATATACCCTGAAGTATTTAGGGGTGAAGGTTCATAATGTCTGCAACCCATTCTTACATGTTTCAGCAAAAACTGTGTGTGTGTGTGTGTGTGTGTGTGTAGTGATAAAGCAAATGTGTCAAGTAGTAACAACTGGGTAAATCTAAGGAAAGCACATGTTAACTTTTTCTTTAAAAATTTTTCAATGGGGGGCCGGCCTGGTGGCGCACTGCTACAGTGCGCCGCTTGGGAGTGCGGCGGCGCTCCCGCCGAGGGTTCAGATCCCACTTACAGACCAGCCGCTCACTGGCTGAGCGAGGTGCGGGCGCAACACCGAGGGTTGTGATCCCGTTGCCAGTCCCGGTCCGGTATGGGCGCGACACTGAGGGTTGCGATCCGTTGCCGGACACGAAAAAAAGACAAAAAGGAAAAAAAAAATAAAAATAAAAATAAATTTAAAAAAAGAAAAAAGAAAGCAACCAACTTACCAGAGTGAAGAGGACTCAAAATAAAAATCCTGACTATCCCACATGTAGCTATATCGTCTTAGTAAATTATTTCACCTCTCTGAGATTCTATTTCCTTTTCTTTTTTTTTTTTTTCCTTTTTGTCTTTTTTTGTGACCGGTAACAGGATCGCAACCCTCGGTGTCGCGCCCGTACCGCGACTGGCAACGGGATCGCAACCCTTGGTGTCGCGCCCGCACCGCGCTCAACCAGCGAGCGGACCGGTCTCTATATGGGATCCAAACCCTCGGCGGGAGCGCCACCGCACTCCCAAGCGCCACACTCTACCGAGTGCACCACCAGCCCGGCCCTGAGATTCTATTTTCTCACAGGTATAATGGAGACACCACCAAACTATCATTAAGGGTTGTATTGTAAGGACTGACAACACAGATGTCAAGCACTTAGGATAACAGAACAGGCACTCAATAAAAGGTGGCTATGTTTACCATTATTACAATCTAATTAAAATAATGAAATAGAAAATATGCCCAAAGTTGTAAAGCCAATTAAGGGTATAACTACCATTGGAATCCTGATTACTCCAAGTTTCTAATCCAAGTAAATTCACTCTCCCTAAACACCAAATAATATATGCAGGTGTTTGTATGTACGGACCAAGAGTCCCTAACATAACTTTTAGCAAAATGCATCACCAAGAAAAAGAACACTGGATCATAAGGTTATTTTTCTCATTAAGCAAGAAGGATTTTAAGTCAAGAAGTGATATACATGACCTGCACAAGATACCCTAACCTTATCTAAGACCCTGTTGTCCAGGAATACATATCCAAATTAGTCCACAAGCTAAAGCAAGAGGAGATGTTTCCTTCAACTCATTTCCAACCTTCTTTAACCAGAGGACAGAAAATTTCCTAAATTAAGTCCATTTCAAGCATCTCCTTCCAGTTTAGTGGCAGAGAATTCCCTTTATATTGTTTTGTATCCTATAACCTAATTCTAAGCCTTCCTTCTTAGCAAGGTGACAATATTGCATACTAAATAATTGACTTCCAGGAATCTTTGAAAGATGTAAACCAATACCCGATTATTACAATGAATAAAGCCATACTTCAAGTCTGTTATGGCCTGTTCATTGTGTTTTTATTCTCTGTTCTTCTTAGGATGATGTGGGAACAAATAAAAGGGAAAGGCACTTAAATATACTTAAATATAAATAACAGTTTGTTTACATTATTTGTATACTATCCCATGTGCATGGCTATCTCAAACAATAAACACACCATATCATAATCAAACATGCAAAGTACCTGAAAGAGTGCCACCTGTCCTAGGATAGGCCACTTCAACATACACTTCAAACGTGGTTTCTGGGTTTTGCCTACAAAAGAAACAGATCATGATTACAAACAAGGATTGAGGCAGCATGATGTAGAACATATGTGGGCTGTGGCATAAGGTAGATCTTTACTAAAATCATTAGCTCCAAAACTTAATGTCCTTGAAACTTTGAACAAGTTACTCAACTTCTCTAAGCCACACCCTCTTAATCTACAAAATGAAAATATCTAACCAGAAGAATTATTGTGAAACTTAAAAGAAAATACACAAAAATTGTCCAGGCACAACATCTGGCATATAATAGGCTAGCCATTACCATGATTATATAGATGACATATCTCTGACTTCCACAGCTAGGTCTCCAAAGCCATTGGTAGAATTTCGAAAGTAAGACCAAGGCAACACCAGCAAAGAAGCCCTCTTCCCAATATTCCAGGATAAAATACTCATATGACAAAATTAACTTGCTTATTTACAGGTTTTAAAGACTGAAACAAGCGAAGCAGTCTCCAATCTCAGATTATTATGAAGACAGGATGTTAATCTAAATGTATAATACTGTTCTCACACATGCCCCTCACCAGTATTGGCAATGGCAAATATATGAATGTTCTTTATTATGTTGTTACCTTTTTATGTCATAAATATTTCATAATAAGTTTTAAAACATCACAGCACTAACAGAATTTTAACAGTTGTTAATTCTGGGTGATAATATTGTGGTTATATTATCTTTGTATTTTCTCTTTAATTTCAAAACTACAATAAAAAAGATGTTATTTACAGATTGAATGAAAATCATTTAGCAGAAGAAAATGTTATACTTTCAAATGTCTATAACTAAATTCTATTTTAAACCTGACAGCAAAATTCAGGTAAGAAACTTTAAGTTGCCTAATCATATTTAAGGGTTCCTTTAAATCAAATAAATAATTTGAATTTGCCCAGTAGTCTACTTTTCAAAATAACTATCTCATTTCATCCTCATCATCTTCCTGTGAGGTAGATGTGTCAGGCATTACTCTCACCATACAGGTGAGGAACCTGAGGCCAAGAGAATCTCACTGTGTTGTCTTTGGTCCCACAGTACAGCTTGTTAGAAACATGGCCAGGACCAGAATTCACACCTTCTGGCCCCCAAATTCTGTGTTGCTTTGATTCTAAGATGAACTTTTTTCCTCCACATTTTCACATCTCTTACAACCTACAGCATTATACAATTCTAAATGGCAGCAATATTCTTCTTTCTTATTAATATATAAAATAATGGTTCATCTTATAAATAATGGCATCTTAGATTCAATAAAATATGGTAATACTCCCTCTACTTCCTTAGGAGGAGAAGGAAAAATTTGTGTCTTGCGAATCAGGGATCTACTTGTTCCTCTTGTGAAGGATCATCATTTTTTCACTAAAGAGAAACGCAGTATTTTGTCTTAAATAAGTATTTACAGTGAAGAGTTGGCTGCTCTAAAATTCAAGGTACTTAAATATACCTCGTCAAATATAGTTATTTTAAATATCAGACACTAAATCAGTATCTTATGTAAAAAAAAAATGTAAACTAAAGTTTCAAGAGGGACTTTAAAAAAATTTTTTGTGTGATTTTTTTTCCCTGCAAGAGGGTACAAAATGACCTATAAAGTTAGCACCAAACATTTGTGGAAAACACCATATGGAAATACCCTTCATTCAAAAGTTCTCAAGGGTAGAGCATTTGATAAGAGGAAGGAATGTTCTTAGATCATCTTTCACGAAATAATAGATAGTATAATCTGAACAGCATCAAGAAGATTCCCTCCAAAACGTAAAAATTTCTTAAGGTTTTAATTAAGAAATTAATTTTCGCAACTGGCTGAATTTCATCTCAGAATTTCAATCCTCTGGATGAAGATAACAGCTTTCAAAATGTGTTCTATGGGACTTTAGGACTCCAAGGAGGTTCTTCAGAGCTCCCACACATTTTTAACTCAAATTTCCATTTTAAAAATTATTTTTATAGATTTTAAAAACTGAAATAATGAGTATGAGCATGCAAAGGTGTTACATACCAAATTTTACAACACTGGAGCATCAACATGTTAACCTGGGCCACAAGGTGTTCTGTATAGACCTGCTATCTCTCTAACATCAGGAAGAATGTCGTGATGTTGTCTTGTACTCATTGTCTCTGTTGCTCCTCACTTGCTCCCCTTAACACACTTCAACCATGCTTCTGAATTCACCACACCACTGAAACAATTTGTCAAGATCAAAGACCTCCACATTGCTAAAATGTTCTCAACTGCTCAATTCTCAGGGCTCACAGTACTCAGCCTCTCAGCAGCATTTGACACAGCTGATCAACTTGCCCTCCCCTTCTTGAAGCACTTTCTTCTCTTGCATTCGAGGACATCACTCTCTACTGGTCTTCTCTCTATCTTACTGGCCACTCCTTCTCAAAGAAGTGCCCCTACTCTCCCTGTCTACACTCATTACTAAGATGACCTCACTCAGTCTCATGACTTTAATTGCCATGCTTATGCTGACAAGCTCCAAAGTCATGTCTCCAACCTGACTTCTTCCCTGACTCCAGATTTTCTTATCCAACTGCCTACTCACCATCCCTACTTAGAAATCTAAGATGCATTTCTAATTTGACATATTGTAGTTTTCTTCCTCAAATCTACATCTCCTGAATTCTACCAGTTAATCAAAACAACAAAACTTATCATCCTTGACTCCTGTTTTATATGCCACAATCATTTATATATATGCCATGATCACCCAATTAGCAAATCCTGTTGATTCTACCATCAAAATTCACCCAAAATCTCAATACTTTTCAGCACTCCCAACACTACCATCCTTGACAGATCACCATCGTGTCACCTCAATTACGGCAGTACTCTGACTGGTCTCCCTGCTTTCTCCCTTTCTCCCCTCCATAGTAGCCAGTAATCCTTTTTATTCTGAAGTTCAGGTTATGTCACTCCTTCATCAAAAAAAAAAAAAAAAAAAAAAAAAAACCTCCCAAAAGCTTCCCATATCACTTAAAAAGTCAAAGTTCTAGTTCTGGAGATGGATGGTGGTGATGGTTGCACGACCATATGAAAGTACTTAATACTACTGAACTGTACACTTAAAAATGGTTAAGATGGAAAATTTTATGTTATATGTATTTTGCCACAATTTTTTTTTAATGGGGGAGGAAAAATAAAATCCTTACAAGGGTCTACAAGGTCCTACATGATCTGGCCTCTGCCTACCCATTTAACTTCATTACATTCCTCTCTCCCCTTGCCCAGTGAACTCCAGCCACACTGGTCGTCTTTCTGCTCCTCAAGTACACCAAACTCATTCCTATCTATGGTCCTTTATATTCATCTTTCCATGGGTGACCCTTCCTGTCATTCAAAACTCTACTTAAACTTGGCCTCCACAGAAAGCCGTTCCTCAACACACTTTCTACACATAATTTTAATTCTCCATGTCATACCTATCACAATCTCAGTTTATTGTCAGTCTCCCTCCTCTAAATGTCTGCTGCTGGAAAGCAGGGATCTCATCTATGGTGTCAAGTAGTGTTTCTCTGGTACCTGAACAGTGACTGGCACATAACCAGAGTCAAACAAATACTGAGTAGAAGGAAAAAGGAAGTACAGACTAGTCTTCCTGAGGTCTAAAAGATTTCAATAAATAATAGATGTGATCATCTAGTTCTGTGATTCCCAAACTTTAGCATGTATTGTAATCAGCTGGAGAGCTAGTGAAAAGATAGACTTCTGTCCCCACCCCCAGAGTTTCTAGGTTGGGACCCAAGAGTTAGCATTTCTAACAAGTACACTGATGCTACTGGACCAGTGATCACACTTTAAGAACCACAGATTTAGTTAAATGGAATTCTTCCAAATAATTTAGTACAAAAAACATCAAATAAACATAGGATGTATCTCAATAATCCATCATTTCAACAGTGCTTTTGCAGTAAAAGATACATCTCAAAAAAAAAAGGCATCTGTGGAAACAATGAAGCTTATTCCTCCTCTTCTATTGCTCTCCATAGTTACTGCCTCACTCTAATGAGTAATAATAACACAGCCACCTAAGATTCTTACTCAGTTCAAATAGCTGGCAGAGTTCTATCACATGGAGCCAAAGATTATGACAGTTTCTGAAAAAAGGAAAAGCAAAAATCTGACTAAAACACTAAGAACAAATTGATCTATAATTATAAGTTACAGTCATGCCTATCCATGATCATTTACATGTTGCCTTATGGAAGAAGCGGTGACTAATGTTGTGACAAGTTATATAACATACCAACAAATATACATAAGTTATTTTAAGGGCAGTGAAGCCAATGCAGATGGAAGTATTTTCTATTTCTCTGCAAATCAAAAAGCAAATTAAGAATTATCTCTTCTAAATGCAAAGCAATCCTTACTTAATATTTTCATTAAGCCTGTAAACAATTAAGACAACAACAATTTCCAGAGGCTCTCTGGTACTACCTTGAGACTGCTTATTACTCCATTACTCTTCAAGATGCTCAATATTTTTAACTACTTGGCTAAAGGAACTGAAAATCCTATTTCTGTCCTATTAACACTCTCTGCTAATTTGGTACCCATAATGATGCTGAGAATACCATATTCAGAGCCAATTTTCCAATATGGACCCAAGTTTTCCCAGAACACTTCATGATATATCTTAACAGATTACCATGGAAATGTCCTTGTTCTGCCATGATACCCCATTATTAATTGCCTTATGCTCCTAAACACTCCATGATATGAAACCCTGCCCACCTGCCATGTATATTTTTTTGTCACCCACCTCCACCTCCTGCAATCTTGTACCCTAAGATCCAGCCACACAGAACTACTTGTACTTTCTAAACAAACTATGCTCCAATTCTCTGATGATAATCCCCCTACCATACCACTACCACTACTTACAGAGGGCTCCATATATGCCCTGGATGACCCTAAGCACTTCACATGTATTATCTCAGTTAATCTTCAATGACCCTACAAGCAATATTACCCCCAGTTAGAGATGAGGACACTGAAGCTCAC